GAACACAACAACACACGGAGGAGAGCAAAAACAGAAAGTGAAGCAGGACAAATCCATGGACTCTAAGGAAAACAAATTATACTGTTTCATTCAACTGGAGCTTCTCCGTCTCAAACATTTAACAAAAATTTTTGGAGAAGAACAATCTCCAAGGTATTAGAGATTACTTGCAGCGCACATAGAGTAGTATGGCGAGCTCAAGATCCACGGCTGGTGCTGTAGACAAGCTACTGTACTGTAGTGGAAAATAGTCGACAGGGACTCTAAGACAGGTACTCCGTCGATCGTTTGCTTACCCGCAAATTTCCTCAAGATTTTTTGAACTGTAGATGTAATATGGATTGTAAACCTTCCATGGTTTTTTTTTTTATCATTTTACCTGGTACCTCGATCGAATATGTTATTAAACTTGCATACATTCAATGAGCTTATATCTGTGCTTTGCGCCATCTCTTTCGGGCTTTGCCACAAATGTCATATGACATAAATGATTTGCATAGACTCAAGTTCCATACATGAGCTCTCTTTTAAAAAAGCTGAATAGTGTGAAAGTACTTGTACCGAATGCGTTTATGTACCCTCATATATACAATGGGCTATAATGATCATTTTATATATTTCGTTTTGATTTTTTTTTACTGTAGCATTCTGTGTCATGATCATTCACTATTTTTTCGTTTCTGAATGTTAATTTTAGCCTTAACAGTATCTGTTAAACCTAAGAAAGTCTTAGAATGGAAATACTTTATTTTACCTTCCAAATGGCAGCTATGTCTAAATGTCCAGATTATGTGTGGCGTGAAATTGAACCTTAAGAAATACTATCTACACGACAAGCTAAGCTGCCAATGAGTCAATAATTTCAATGCTTAGTAATGCCAAAATGCTTAAATAACAATGATAATAGCAAAAAGCATTACAATTTTTTTACCATTTTTTCCACGATGAAAGCGTTTCCTTTGCAGTCCACAACTATTTGTGAAGTTGCGATCTCAGCAATCCAAGCAATCTCGTGATAGTTTTTTTCTTGTTTGTTCAACAAATAAAAGCCTCGGACTCTCAATGAAAGGGTTGTCTGTATGTACTCGAACGCTTTAAATCTTTCTTCTGGTGAATAATTACATAAAATTTTACAAAATTAAAGAAATATCCGCGAAGTGTTTATAGCAGATTAGCCGATAAAACGCAAAGGACGCGAGTGAAAGGTAAGCTTGCAGTTTCTTGATTAAGCGGAGGACTTAGAGCTATTTTCCTTCTTATTTACTGATCCTTGCCTATTAAGGGATCTTTTAATACCCAAGATCCAAGTGTAACATCTTAAAGCAATAATTTTTGATGTTTTAGAATTGACTTTTGTTTGACTATAAAATGTTCGGTCAGATCGATCACACGTAGAAATAGCAACATGCGCATACTTCCTCGGTTTTCAAATAACTGACAAGGTAAATAGAAAATATTTTTCATCTGTTGAAAAGCGACTCATTTTCCGCAAGAAATAACTAGAATCTCACAGACTTGCAGGAGACAAAACCAGTCCGCGTGTCCTGCGTGTTGCGCATTTCTTACTGTATTATAATGATCAGCAGTCCGGAATATCCCTAAATTTAAGGACAGGGCCAACTGGTCATGCGACACTTTTCAACCAATGAGAAGGCGCGCTTGTGTTTATCAACAAACAAATCAAAACATCGCCGCTGTGATCAAATATTAGGACTTTAAGATCCAACGACGCGACGGCGACCAGAACGTCGCTTAAAAAGTGAATTTGCGTTCCTTCAGTCTTTATAGCGATTATTCCTACCCACTTACTTTGTCAACTGTAGGCGAACCCTCCTGAAGCTGAATTTCAAGTTACCAAAGTCAAGCTCAGGAAGAGAAATAAAATTTCGTCGTTGGTTGTTTACGTCCTCCATAAAACGCGAAATTAGGCATTTTCACGTCGTAGTCGTGCAAAAACGGGAAAGAAATGTACAAAAAAGTGTGATGCACGTGCGAAGTTGTTGTTTTGCTAATTAAACCAATTGTTTTTTTGACGTTCTCGTTGTCATCCGCGTCGTTGGATCTTAAAGTCCCTATTTTCAAAACAGCTGACGGAGTCGGACAGAATCAGTCATCGTTTCGAGGCTCTCTGGCATATTTTTAAGACTTTTCATGAGGCATACCACAATTTTTTTAAGTGGACAGCGTATCGGAAGCCATATTGGAGGTGTCTCGTGAAATATTCAGCACGTTTTGTGGCTTATTTCTTCTTTTAAACAACGCGATGTATGAGGCAAGATTTTGGTCGGTTTTCAAGGTAGGTGAACAAGTATCTATTATTTTTTCGATTCACAGATTTTTTTACGAAGTTGTAGATATTTTTCCTTGATTGTCATATAGATTAACTTTTATCATGTTAAATGCGGGGATGGTAGACAACCTAGAATTTTGGTAGACCTGTTTTGAATTCCGAGGTCCAAAACACGTACGTTTTTCATTCCCAGGTTTCTCACAGAGCCGTGTTATTACTTTTTTTCGCATTAGTACAAGCCTTTGCCTTTTTTCTTTTCAAGGCCAAAACAACTTTATTAGTCTTATGGATATTCACGTCCAACATCTCGCCTCACTTTGACGAATTTGTGGGGATGAAATTGAAGATCATAATCGCCAGGTACGTACGTACTATAAACCGCTTTGTTTCTGAAATTCACCAAATCTGGAAAGATTTAATGTTGCTGGATTCTCCAAATATTCATCCACCGTTAAAAAACAATCAAAGAAAGAAGGCAAATTTCAAGTGTAAATGATGTATTTCGCTAATCACTGAACATGCACTGAATCTGGGATCAAATTAAAACATTGCAGCTACTACAGCAAGCAAGGAAAGCACCAGATGCGTGAAGTCAACACGAAACAACACCAAAAAACAAACAAGAAAAATTAACTAGTTTGAACTACTTTTTATTCTTGTCATGATGACTGGTTCTTTAATTCTTGTCCTGTAGAAGATAATAGGTAGTACCAATCCTGTTTTGTATGATCTCAACAAATTTCTCTCAAATCTCTCTAATGCTATTTTTACACGGGACCAGTTTGTTTTTATCAAATATCTTGCAAGCCATTCCAGTGAAGCCACGACCACTGCGATCGGTCTGGAATCAGTTCGAACACCCCAATGATTCCTTGCAATGAATAATGCTCTTATTCTCTTACATGAAGTGTTTTCTTTGAAATATTAATGTGAAACCTAGACGAGCTAGTACTGTAAGCTCATCTTTAGTTCTATCCGACTCCGTTCGTTGTTTTGAAAATTTTTGAGCACTGGGGCGATGTTTTGATTTGTTTGTTGATAAACACAAGCGCGCCTTCTTATTGGTTGAAAAGTGTCTCGTGACCAGCTGGCCCTGTCCTTTAATTTTAGGGATATTCCGGACTGATCGGAACAGGTGAATTTTCTCCGCTCTCTATTCTCCCCTTTTTATTCAATTCATGAAACATCTCTTAACTGCGCTTTTCAAAAACACAAATTCTAAGGTTCATAAGCCAACTTGGCTGCCGTCAAATCATCTTAGCGGACCTCTTAGGAAACAGAAGTTTACTTCAACGGGTTCAAAAGGTCATGGTACACTTGTGATTTGTAATTGGTAGATTTCGGTCCGTTTTGTGTGTTTCACGGTTCGACGTTTACAATCGTAATCATAATTGACGGCAGCGAAAAACGCAATTGTGAAGGCAGCTTTTGAAGTGAAAAGCACAGTAGTACGGTGCATATATTCAACGGGATCTTCTTGTGGCTTTAAAAGCTATAAGGTCGTTACTGTTCTCGACTATTGTCCCTTTATTGCTATTCTTTATTTCAGCTTAGCTCTGCGGGTAAATGCAATGTATGAAAGATGTATTTGTTGAAGTTCAATGTTATCCTTGTTTTGAATTTTATTTTCTTTTGTTTCAATCTCATAACCATACAGTACCATACCCAAAAACAAAGGAACATGAGATTTAAACCAAGAGCAAACCTTAACCAAAACATATCCACTGTAACTGAGAAATTGCAGAAAAAAAAGATTAAACTTGCTATTTAGAATAGGCCACCCTTGCTGACAGCTTAGCTAACAGGAAATGATGAGCCCTATTGGCCACTTTGCGGTTCGGCGGGAGACCAGGTTGAGATTCTTATCAAAGTGCATTGTGAACTGTTTTGGAGGACGAATTTGCCGCCATGCGGAAATACGTCCCCAAAAACAGTCCCAAAATGCACTTTGAAATCATCTCGACCCAGTCTCCTGCGCAACCTCAAAGTGGTTAATAGCCGAGCAATTATATTGTTGTCATTGCATTCAGCTGATGTCAATGAAATTCGTTTTATGTCACTAGGCAACGACAACCTCACCTTATGCTGGTTTTCCATGCCCCTCAACTGTTTCGTCAAAGCGGTGAATGATGGTCTCGCTTCTGGCTCATTTTGCCAACAGTTTATCATGATTTGATACCAGAGAGAATGAAATCATCTCATCTCGATTATTCTTCTTTAATAAGAGGCCAAAGACACCTTTAATCCAAGATTGACCTCTCCTAGTATCTATTGTTACCTCTGAGTGTGCAAAAAAATAATACAACTACAAATAGTATACAACCACAAACTGTCATTAATTTAAAAGGTTACTATTACAATTTGTCATCCACGTGCTGCGGCTGTAGCATCCTGTATCCTTGTTGAAGCAAGCCAGCAATTTTCTTGCCATCCATTCGCGGGTACGGAGAACCACCTGAAAATATAGGAATTCAAACAAACTACGTCTCCAGAACCTATCGCAAAAGAAACTGCCACGACTAATACCATGATCCTTAATCAAGAAAATTAACCACAACTTACCTACAGTAAAAATGTCATAAAGAACAACGCCATAGCTCCAACTGCAAATAAAGTGCAAGCGTTGATTTGTAAAATAAACAAAACAAGAACTACTCAATAACATTCAACATCATAAACTGTATTTCCAGACAATTTCCATTCTATTAACTCACACATCACTGTTGGTGGTATAAGTGTTAAATATCAACGCTTCATATGCAGTCCACTTGACTGGCAGACGTCCCTGGTGGTAAACGATGAGACGCAGAACGAGTAAAAAAGATATCTTTAAATTTATTTGTGAGATTAAGATTTTTAAGTTAAATAGAAGTTTGAGAAGCCTTATCTAGAAGGCAACCTACTTTCGTAGGGAAGTGCGTTAAAGAGAATGGGCACAGTACTAATTATTAGCCAAAACAAGTATGATAACGTACAAAAGGTCTAGATAGCAGCAACAATATAGATAGTCGTATAAACATAACAACTTTCTTTCGCGCGCGCTTTAAATTCAACGGCGATTTCAAAATATATAACACTGAAGATGACGGATGTACCGTCGAAACATGTCTGAAAAATTAAAGAAAGTTGTTATGTTTATACTACTATGATAAAGTAGGCTGCCTTGATATGAGACATGGAAGATGTATAATAGAATGTAAATCCTTGTTTTTAGATTCCCTTTATCTTATAATTAATTATTCTTATTAGTTCCTAACTCAGATACCCTTGTCTTTCTTTCATAAATGTTTTCCTGTTGGACATTCCTGGCCATTCCAAAGTCAGTCAGTTTACACGTTTCTCTTTCCCCAACCAACACGTTACGAGCTGCAAGATCGCGGTGAATGATCTCCAAGAAATAGTTAATCAATCAATGAAATTGGTACCAGCGGGATCTAATTAAATTCAGGGCAAAATTCACCCATTTCGACCCATCTTCTGGACTACTAGCATATTAATTCCTCGGTAATTAATTAATCCATTTATTAATCAATACACGCGCATATGCTTCAATTAGAATAGTTGGCATGGCTTACTGCTTATTTTGTACAGGAGTCTTAATAAATCAACGTCGATGACGTTTTTCATAGTATTTCCTAATCTTTCAGAATTCATGTCTAAACGCACTCAAATCCTTTGACTCGATTAAGCGGAGGACTTAGAGGTATTTTCCTTCTGATTTACTGATCCTTGCTTATTAAGGGATCTTTTAATACCCAAGACCCAAGCGCAACATCTTGAAGCAATAACTTTTGATGTTTTAGAATCGACTCTTGTTTTACTATAAAATGTTCGGTCAGATCGATCACACGTAGAAATAGCAACATGCGCATACTTCTTCGGTTTTCAAATAACTGACAAGGTAAATAGAAATTATTTTTCATCTGTTGAAAAGCGATGCATTTTTCCGCAAGAAATAACTAGAACCTCCCAGACTTGCACAAAACCAGGAGACAAAACCAGTCCGCTTGTCCTGCGTGTTGCGCATTTCTTTCGCGTCGCGCGCGACTACCTTGGCATGCGCAGAAAATGTGCGCAATAACAATAGTGGGCACCGTCCTTAATGACTAGGTCGCATTCTGGGTACCATTGCTGTTTCGCCGCCATGTTTGTTTGTCTAATTTGAAACACTCGCCGTCACGTGCTTTACCGCTGACCGCCGCCAAAACTGTAATCAACCACCTTAAAGTGAGGAGTTTTGGCGGGAAGTAATCCGTCTCTCGGAGTTTATTCAGTACACGGGAAAACGCTGCCATGCATGTGTTTACTCAAAACGTCTGCGAAGACAAGAACCGTAGAACTATTGCAAAGAGTGATTTTCTGTTTATTGACAACAGTCATCTTGAACAGTGTCAAAATAAAAGGATAACAATGGGGAAGCCGTATGGTTTCATCGAGATCGAAGTAGGAGAAACCTTCTTTGATGTCCTAAAAGCTCTCCTTGCCAGTGTTTTGAGCTCGTTGCTTCAAGTATTTAAAATCGTATTGCAGATTATGTATTCTTTCTATCGGCTGACGTTCTAACGCTTTCAACAAACCGCTCTTTATACTTGTCGTAAATGTCGCTCTATATCCCTCCTCTCTTTTCAGTCGATGAGCGCTTTAATTTTTCTTACTTTGATCCTCACTCACGCTAGAGCTGTTCTGTTCCTTCCGTTTCGCATACACTTTTCTAACTTGCTTGAATTTCTTTCAGTAAATCTTTCCATATCTTTCATGAGACGTGAGGTTGGCTCATCTTGTAAATTATGACTGTTTATTCGTTATTGAACGAGTTGAAAAAAGAATAAACTGCATTCAGCAAAATGCACAACAGGGAAATTGCACTGTTGTGAAACATATATAGGTCATTTCGTTTTGCATTAACGTTGTTTCCGCTGTCAAATACAGTGAAAAAACCAAATCATACACCGAATGCAAATATGGCGGATCTCTCGGTCGGCCCGGGTCTAGTTGCGCGAAAGCGAGGCTAGTGAGGCCTCGATAGTTTTGTTTTGACTGCGCGTCTTAGCGATTCAGTCGATGAATATGGTTTCCTTTGAGTTGTTACGTGCTTAAGAGCCATCAAATAGGAGATTTAACTCCAGCAGAGACGAAATTTGATTATCTTCGCTTCGCCAAAGTTCTTTACGAAGAAAGAAATGGATTCAAGCGATTCGGCGCGGCGAATAGAGGCACTCTACTATCACGGAGTTATTTTTTAAAAGAACGAAAGTGTGCTCGCTTCACTTAAGAAGATAAGACTCACGAAACTATTAGAATGGGTGAATAACTGAAAGATTCATGATTCTGCTTCAAGTTTGCTTTGTCCGTTTTCTTACCAAGGAAAGGTAAATATCCTCGAGAACGAGTGAATCCGCCGTCGCGACTTACCAATCTTTAGGCGCTCTCAGGGACACAACGACAAACAACAAGGGCGAATGTTTTTTCACAGTCTTCAAGATCCTGTGTTCAAGAGTTTTAGCAGTGCCATAAAGGAAGCAATTTTTGGAAAATCGCTGTTAGTTTATCTCGAAACCATTCTACAAGTTGCTAAAATAGATCACGCGCAAGGTCAAATACAATGCTCGAATACTTGCACGCTGTTTTTCTTCCAGAACCTTTTTTCTTCTTCTTACGTTCTTAGTTGGCAACGGTTCCTCCGTTAGTTTTTTCAGTGCATTTTGTTCAAGGACTGTTCTTGAACTATGTCGCTTTCTTCTGGTTCTTACATAGTTTCACAGGCCACGCTTGTAGGATTAACAGGCGATTGTTATTGTTGTTGTTATATTTTAATGCAGCTGTTTTCAGCGTGAAATCTAAAAGATCTTACGGTCGACCGAGGATGCTCCCGTTCTCGAAAATGTTTACTTTTTGTTGGATAAATAACAGACCATGCAAACATCTTGGAACAGCACCATCTCTTGTGAAAATTATTTCATTCAAATACTTTCGTGAGTCTTCTCATCTAAAGCAAGTGAGCGAGCACAGTTTCGCTGTAAAGTGCTTCCAATCGCCGCGCCGAATCGCATGAATCCTTAAGTTTCTTTGTGAAAAGATCTCGGGAAAGTAAAGGCTATTCCAGCTAGAGGAAAATCTTCTTTTTGGTGGCCCTCAGGCATGCAACAACTCGATGCAAACCATATCGATCGACTCAATCGCTAAGACGAGCAGTCAAAACAAAACTCTCGAGGCCTAACTAGACTCGCTTTCGCGCAACTAGACCCGGGACGGCCGAGAGGTCCGCCATATTTGCATTCGGTGTATTACATTTCTGAAGTAGCTCATGAAGCAGAACTGAGAAAAACCGCGGCTACCTACATTTCGTGGAGATCAGCATCCTCATTCATCAATCAATTCTCGCTTCCTCGCTTGCGAGAGTAAAATTTGTCGCTTGAGATGACTGACACTTAACTTCCGACGGTTTGATTGGATAAGTGCAGCCTCAAGGAAGGTTTTGAACTTACTGAGAGTACACTTCGGCATTTTGAGGTTTTGAAGTTTCTGTGGCAACAACGTACGACTAGTCAAGATCAGTCAAGTAAAAAAAACACAGGCTAGTCCGCTTGAAGTGCACTTCAAATGCACTTCAACTGCACTTGAAAAGTCCAGTGTGAAACCACCTTTTATGATAACATATACTTGTTAGACAGTCATAAGGTAAGCTAATTTTATTTATAGCGAAATGTTATTATCACTGTTTTATTTCAACAGTTGTATAAAAATTCAGATACAATCATGTTTCGAGGGTTTTAATAACAGCAGTACATTGATTCTATTCTTACTTAAGAAAAATTGATACATTCCAAGACTTCAACTTTTAGAAACATTAAAGGGACACAGTCAGCTGATGCACATGCGCATTAGATACCATATCTTAGCTAATTTGCATGTCACAAGACGCACGTGAAACAAAAGCGTATCCGGAATAATCTAAACAAACCTTGTAGAGTTGAACTAGTTACAAGCTAAATTGTGATTATAGGCCCTAAGCCATATCAGAGCACTTATTTTTTTATATACCATTGAGAATTCAGCGATGGATTTTTTCGGGGAAAGCCAAACATCGATGAATACTTCCGAATTCGGTACTTTCGAATTGCTCGAAGTCTGAATCATTGTCGAAGGTTCACGGTCGAGAAAGCTTGATTTTCCAAATGTATGATACCTTTTGCATCGATTTTCCAAATATGTATAGCAATTATTTGCTCGCCAATGTTAACTGGTTCATTTCTCTTGTTATTTTGGTAAACGAAAGCGATTTCTCCCGCCCGGAGAAAAAACGTAAAAATACAAATGAAGTTAACAAGTAGGAAAATATTACTAAAAAAGTAATTTCCGTACCTATATCCTGCCGGAATGCTTTTAATATGGTCGCATCTGCATGTCTATGAGAGGCTCTATGACTTTTAGACCAGTACGACGTGAGCAACATGGGATAAAAACGCTTATGATTAAAAATGCGAGGTAATAAACAGTTTAGAATAAAGAACGTATATATAAAGGAGTACCGAAAAATATTTGCATAAATCGGCATTTAAGTAAATTCCAAGATGCCGGCCAATTAAGAAGGCGTCTATTTTTAACTGCGACACATCTCATATAAATGTTTATCATCTTCAAGAGCTTATCTCGCCAGAGAGTACAACCGCCTCTCCTCACTCCTCGCCGCTCAGGACGCTTCGCGGAAGAGAAGTTGGCCCCTCAACAAAAACTCCATACTGATGACGTTGATCAATAATATTGTTTATATAATTAATCTAGTATTCACGGGGTTCCAGGTGCACATTGCTTGATGTTTCTTCAGGTCTATTATCGTAAGATTTTGAGTTCTTTTGCAGAGGAGCGGCAGTCGAACTCAAATGCTTCCTGTGAAGCCAAGAGCATATATTCCAAGAAAAATGAACTTTTTTCAGTGAATTAATCGCGTGTTCATTTAATCTTTGTCCGTACACAGAACTAAGTTAAACGAATAAAACTACCACATACCAAATCGACCAACAAGCGCTCGTCAACCAGATTCCAGAAAAATCTACGTCATCAGTATTTTTTATGGACCAAATCGCAGATTTCAATCTAGAGGGGAGGATCGAGGACGGAGTGACGGCTGAATTCAAAGGTTAGAGCTTATCTCAGGCCATTTATTTGCAGATTTTTTTAAGCAACTGTTTCACTATGCAAATTATAACCCCTTGTATAGAAGTGGGAAGGTACCCAATTAAACTTATTATGCTAAATGTACGTAAAAGTTAACGATAGCACCTACAGGGAGCTGCAGGGAAAAATGGTTTAAACAGAAGTATTTTTCATCTTCTTAAAATGTCTTGCGAGCCAAACGGTCATAACTAAATAGAAATTAGCAGCATATATCAGCTCCTGCATATATATAACACATATACAATATTGAATTTAGACGTTCAAGTCCTCTACTCTTGCGTACAGCTGATTGTCGTAAATATGCATGTTGATCAGCTTCTGTGGATGAAATGCATTCGTTTCAATTTTCTACCATGTATGATAATAATCAGAACAGGTGAATTTTTTCCGCTCTCTATTCTCCCCTCGCCTTTTTATACAATTCATGAAACATCTCTTAACTGCGCTTTTCAAAAACACACAAATTCTAAAGTTCAAAAGCCAACTTGGCTGCCGTCAAATCATCTTAGCGGACCTCTTAGGAAACAGAAGTTTACTTCAACGGGTTCAAAAGGCCATGGTTCAGTTGTGATTTGTGATTGGTAGATTTCGGTCCGTTTTGTGTGTTTCACGGTTCGACGTTTACAATCGTAATCATAATTGACGGCAGCGAAAAACGCAATTGTGAAGGCAACTTTTGAACTTTAGAGTTCGTGTGTGAAAAGCACAGTAGTACGGTGTATATATTCAACGGGATCTTCTTGTGGCTTTAAAAGCTATAAGGTCGTTACTGTTCTCGACTATTGTCCCTTTATTGCTATTCTTTATTTCAGCTTAGCTCTGCGGGTAAATGCAATGTATGAAAGATGTATTTGTTGAAGTTCAATTTTATCCTTGTTTTGAATTTTATTTTCTTTTGTTTCAATCTCATAACCATACAGTACCGTACCCAAAAACAAAGGAACATGAGATTTAAACCAAGAGCAAACCTTAACCAAAACATATCCACTGTAACTGAGAAATTGCAGAAAAAAAAAGATTAAACTTGCTATTTAGAATAGGCCACCCTTGCTGACAGCTTAGCTAACAGGAAATGATGAGCCCTATTGGCCACTTTGCGGTTCGGCGGGAGACCAGGTTGAGATTCTTATCAAAGTGCATTGTGAACTGTTTTGGAGGACGAATTTGCCGCCATGTGGAAATACGTCCCCCAAAACAGTCCCAAAATGCACTTTGAAACCATCTCGACCCAGCCTCCTGCGCAACCTCAAAGTGGTTAATAGCCGAGCAATTATATTGTTGTCAATGCATTCAGCTGATGTCACTGAAATACGTTTTATGTCACTAGGTAACGACAACCTCACCTTATGCTGGTTTTCCATGTCCTTCAACTGTTTCGTCAAATCAGTGAATGATGGTCTCGCTTCTGGCTCATTTTGCCAACAGTTTATCATGATTTGATACCTAAGAGAATGAAATCATCTCATCTCGATTAGTGTTTTCTCTCGAAATGTTCTTTAATAAGAGGCCAAAGACACTTTTAATCCAAGATTGACCACACCTAGTATCTATTGTTACCACTGAGTGTGCGAAAAAATAATACAACTACATACAGTATACAACCACAAACTGTCATTAATTTAAAAGGTTACTATTACAATTTGTCATCCACGTGCTGCGGCTTTAGCATCCTGTATCCTTGTTGAAGCAAGCCAGCAATTTTCTTGCCATCCATTCGCGGGTACGGAGAACCACCTGAAAATATAGGAATTCAAACAAACTACGTCTCCAGAACCTATTGCAAAAGAAACTTCCGCGACGAAGGCCATGATCCTTAATCAAGAAAAAAACAACAACTTACCTACAGTAAAAATCTCATAAAGAACAACGCCATAGCTCCAACTGCAAATAAAGTGCAAGCGTTGATTTGTAAAATAAAGAAAACATTAAGTACTCAATAATATTCAACATCAAAAACTGTATTTCCAGACAATTCAAAGTAGACAGACTGCAAATTATCTTAGTTGCTAAAAAATATACATCTACGTGTCGCAACTGTTCATCAGTAGGATGCCTAAAATGCGTGAAATTCCACAATTGGTTTCGGCTCCATTAAATCCTATACCAATTGCAGAACATTTTAGGAGGAGCCACCCACCATGTGAGCACAGTCACGGACAATGTATAAGTGAGGAAAATAACGCAAAGTAAAATTAAGACGTTGATAAACGAATTAAATGTACACGTCAATTAAATAAATAAACAAATAATGCGCGCGCTCAAAATAAAATTGTACGCGCACACGTACCGATATACAACTGTTATGCCACTACTTGAGAAATTTCTGCAATTTGATTGGCTTAGAGCAGTGGTATTTCAGCTTAACTTGAAATACCTACATGTGAAAATTACAAACCTTTTGTGGATAGTGGTATAAACAAATAATAGCATACTTTGCACGTGACATTCGGCACAAACACCACTCGTGATGTTCCAAAATTGTCTCAAATTTCATTTCTATTTACTCACACGTCACTCTTGGTGGTGTAAGTGTTAAACATCAACGCTTCATATGCAGTCCACTTGACTGGCAGACGTCCCTGGCGGTAGAAAGTGAGACGCAGAACGAGTGAAAAAGAAGTATTTGAAATTCTTTTTGAGATTAAGATTCTTAATATGTAGATTTATCCAGGGCTAAAAGCGAAGCTCTCCTTGATATTGTTTCCTCAAAGAAAATACAAAATCGAGTACCGTATTTATTCGAATAAGCGCCCAACCTCGAATTAGCGCCCACCTCGAACAAGCGCCCATCCTAAAGGCAGAAAAAGTTAATAAGCGCCCAGCCTCGAATAAGCGCCCGCCCCACCACACCTTCCTCCCACTCCCACTCGAACTCAAATTAGCGACCACCCCTAAAATTGAATAAATACTAATAAGAGACTTCCGCGAAGACGGAGTTTTCTTCAAAGTATTTTACAGCAACCTTGCTTTGTTACATCTTCACGTTCTGTTATTACCATTTATTGTTTTGTTGGAAAATACACATACTAAACTTGCTGAAAATGTTGAAAATTCAATAAGCGCCCAGCCTCGAATAAGCGCCCACTCTCAAGGTCCAAAAATTTAATAAGCGCCCAGGGCGGTTAATCGAATAAATACGGTAATACTAAAGACAGGGTGAAAACAACGGGAGCGGTAAAAACAACAACAGTATATCTAATTAACAAAAAACAACTTTGCACTTGCAGCACACTTTTTTCTAATCAGCAAAAAACAACTTTGCACGTGCAGCACACTTTTTTGTACATTTCCTTGCTGTTGTTTTGCAAGACTAAAACGTGAAACTTTTTTTCACTTCCTATTTACACGTTTTATGGAGGAAATGTTTATGTTCCTGTTCACCCTGTTTTCCGCTGCCGCTCATTTTCATTTTGGTAGCCGCTACCATTTCTCATTTTCTAACCGTCGCTATGTAATTTTCATGTTTTTCTTCCAACGAAATTGGTCTCCGTTGTTATTTATTTTTCGTTCTTGCTCTTTCTCTGTTATCTAAGTTAATGTAGACATTAAAATTTAGTGGAAAGAAAGACTCCTTTTTTTTCTTTTTTTTTGTCCTCTCTAAACGTGTCGGCGGCAATGTGATTTACCGCTTGCGCATATAACTTGAAACTACTGGCAGCCGACTGACAGCCCTGCCCGGTGAAAGCTTAGTTTCAATTTTATGTTTGTAAGTGTACCATATTATATCAGCTTCTAAGTAGGGACAAAACGACTAGTCTTTTATCTGAGCCCGCGAGATGATCATGTGATAATTGTCAGCGGATGTCTGATTTTGACAGCTGTCGATTCATCCTCATACGTAGAGCTTACATAGCTGACAGGCTAGTGTCAATTTGTGCACGATCTAATGTGACATTTGAAGTCAGTTTACATGAAGTGTACGTACGGGCGCGCGTACGCTATGCCATAACCAAATTTTCACGGATAGATAGTTTACCAAATTTTCGTAGCCATGGTGCTTCCCTATTAATAAGTAAAGTATAAGTCTGAGGATTCATATATAGAAGGCTACCTACTTTCGCAGGGAAGTACGTTAAAGACAATTAAGTTAGAGTAATTATCAAGCAAAATAAGTATGAATTAAGTAGGTTTTAGAGTTCAAGGGTAGTTTGAAATGCCCGAAATCTGTGTGGCTACCTTAATGCGAGACAAACACGATGGATAATATAATTTAAATCATTGTTTTTAAATTCTCTTCATCTTCAATTATTAATCTTATTAGTTCTTAACTCAGATACCCTTGTCTTTCTTTCATAAATATTCTCTTGCTGGACATCCCTGGCCATTCCAAAGTCAGTCACTTTACACGTTTCTCTTTCCCCAACTAACACGTTGCGAGCTGCTAGATCTCTGTGAATAATCTGTAAGAAATACTTAACCAATCAATTAAATTTGTACTAGAGCAAAATTAGCCCATTTTGACCCATCTTCTAGACCACTGGCATATTAATTCCTCAGTCATTCATTAATTCATTTATTAATCAAAATACTTGCACATGTTTCGATAAGTATAGTTGGCATGGTTCGCTGCTTATTTTGCACAGAAATCTTAATTAATAACTTAATGTCGATGACGTTCTTCATAGTATTTCCTAGACTTTCACAATTCTAAAAGCACTCAGATCCTTTGACTTACAGATCTTGATGACAGGTAACTCATTCCATCAGCAATTTGCCAAGCAAACTTCATCAGCTGCTCTGACGTCAGACTTGTTTGGGGCTTGATATCCGGGTCTTTAAAATAAGTATCATTGAGTCCACGGCTCTTTCTCAGGTAGCCCAAGAGATCTCCATACGGGACATACTCGATCAAAACCAATAACGGCTCTAGAAAATAAGTCAAGGCACTTTACACTATACGGGTTTTTCTATAATACCAGCAATAATTTAGAAACTGAAACTGAAACAGTTTTACATTAACTGTTAACTTCTAAAGATGTACGTTCAAATGCGTTCATCATTAATATATATTTTACCAGTTTCAATAACACATCCCAGTAGGCGTATGACGTGTGGATGAGGTTTCAGCGTCTTCATTACTTCGAGTTCAGATAACAAATCGCTTCTGTCAGACTCAGGAGAAGAAGCTAAAAATAATCAAACAAACCTGAGGATACAAGCGTTACTATTCAGTTTTTGGATAATGTTCCAACTTTTACAATTTTATAAAAAATCAAGAGGAAAACTCCCTTTTCCTTTGCTACTTATTGCCTCTAATCACCAATAATTAATGTCTTGTTTCAAAACGTTAGAATGTTTAACTCCAAATAAATCGTCGATAAAAAGCACAATTATTCTTAGAATTAATTTGATTCAGCTACAAAAGCTAGGTGTGGATTACCTTTAAGCATTTTAACAGCAACTGGAGTGTTCCCTGGCCTCCCCCGAAGATCTATCGCGGTTCCTTTGGCAACCTGACCAAAGGTACCTTTACCGATAACCTTTTCTATGGTTACTTAGTTTCGTGGAATTTCCCAAGAGCGGGTGGATGGATTAAGAGGCGCGTAATCAGTTCCCAGGGATGAACATTCCACCTGTGGGGTACCGAGTATCACTTTCTCTTTGCGCTTGCTTCCAAAGGCAAGTTCCTCTTTTAGGTCCATGTATTCAGTCTTACTTTGACGAGAATGTGATGGCTGGACTTCATCCATTGCAATCTCATTCTGAAATTATTAAAACAATATCATCAATCATTGTTCTAATATAACTCGAATCTAAAGGACAAAATTAAGAATATTACATGCATGTAAATTATTTTCTGACATGTTTTTGACCCTAGGTGAAATTCTTATTTTATTTACAACAAATCCAATACACCAAACGTAACTCGAAATTCAATTTTCTCTTGTTTGACTGAAACACAAAACAGATAAAAAAAAAATTACTTACGTCATAAACCTCTGTATGGTCGCGTGGCAACGCATATGGTCTGAGAATACGAAAAGAAGAACGAAGAATTACAAAACAAATAAAACATTTACTAACTTTCATTACAATTCATGGTCGATCTTCAAATTTAAGGGTAATTCAAGGTGACTAATGTTGCAGACACAGTTGGCTAAGGAATTTTGGCTAAAATCTAAAACACTAAACCATATTGTTCTTCCCACGCATTTAAACCAGAGGCTTAAAAGCCACCAAAAAATATTGCAGCTGCATAACCGTTACAGGTAAAACCAACATTCATACCTTTTCTGTCCTCTAAATCCTGTGAAAGAACACAAAAACATTTTAATATTCTATTAATTCCTTATTTATTCAATAGATTTTGTCTATTTAATTTATTTTCTTACTTATTGTTTTGTGTCCTTGTTTTTGTGTGCTCTACATTTTGGGGCAAAATGGTTGGTTGACGTTAGAAAACTTACAGTCTAGTACTTTCCATAATCGCGAAAACAAGGAGCAAATGATAAGAAGTTTTCTATTACCTCTCTTGTGCTGCCAAACTATCACGACTACAAGAAGGATATTAATGAATATAAGAACTCCAGTTACTGCTTTCCAGATGACCTCATTACACTGACAGCTTTCATTATCTGTGAATAGAACCATAAATGAAAGTTAAACCTAAACCAACCTGTTGAGATTCTCGTAATCTGGAAGATATTCAGCATCCACTAACGTCACTTGGAGTGAAAAATCAACGTCTAACAAATTATTTAAGCTTTTATAAAATAACTTTTAGTAGAACAGAGTCTTTTAGGTAAAAAATGTCGTTTTAGTACCGTGATCAAGTCACGTCTTCTCTCTAAAGTCATCATAAGCCAATCATTACTCACGATTTAAAAGCGCCAAACTTTCTCAAAACTCAGTTCAGTCAAACGACAAACTGCAGCACTTCAAAACATGAGTTTTTGCACCCATTACGTGGTAACTTATGAAAGCTGTTTTACAGGAAAAGTCAAAACATATTCATGCGAACGTACAATGAAGGAATACGTTCATGGTTTGTTTAATACAGAAGTAGAAAATTAAACCTCAAATTGTACGCAGCTGTATTTTGTTAAGCCGATCCGTAAAAATGTCGTGCTTACAGACGAAACTGGCAGCTATTGTAATGGAGGACCTCATTCACTTTTTACAAGCCGCAGTGGTTTAAGATCTGTTTTGTGGACTTTATCATGATCAAGAAATGCTGCGTTAACGATGTGGCTGCATTTGCAAAGTTGTCGCACGTAACTTATGTAGTACGTACAGCGAAAGATGGAAATATGTCAGTGGTAGCTCTAAATTTGGAGAGAGGTTTCTTTGCCGTAGCCACATATTGGCGTTAATATTTGTCAATTTGTGAAGTCAGGTGGTTTGAGGTAGGTTTCGATAGGTTATGGCATCGATATTACTGAATAATTTGTGCAAATGTTGGAAAAAAAACCAGCGCGAAACTCTGACATCTTTAATCATCGTTTACAGCTTGTTTACAACCTGCAGCGGCCCAATTTTGTGCCATAACTTGATCAGACATCTCTTTTTGAAACAATTTCTTTCATTCAGGATTTTAATTTTGACATAAAATAAATCAAGAATGCTAATTAAAATTGTCCATTTTTTTGCTGGTTGGCACATGATTAAGCTTTCCTAGAGACTTTCTACACCATTAAATTCACACAGTTGTTGTCTTTCTCTGCGATTTGGCATCGTCGTGAAATGGAAACTGTATTCCACCAGCTTTGTACTTTACAACTTTTAAAGCTATGGCAGTAGCGAGTTGTAACGCTTTGTAATAAAATGTGGAAACCAACACTTTTTAATATTAAGAAGGGCTGGGTAAGTAACCTGTTCTGTTTTTTAGCCTTTCTAAAATCGTTGTTTGCAGAGCAATAGCCGGTTTTGTTTATGGCTCGTGGTCCGGATGCCATTTTGGTTCTACTGGTATAATAAACGATAGGTTTTTGACCAATCAGATCGCACATACTATCTCAGTTATTTTATAAAATGACAATAAAATATGTCAAAGGGCTATACAGAGATTACAAACAGCGATAAAGCTCAAAGGAACTGGAATACAGTCAGCAACAGCCGCAAAGATGTTCTTCTTAGTTTGCATCTTCTCGACTGCTAGCTGCTTTCGCATATTCATTGCAAAAAGACTCTTAAATGTCATCTTTAACTCAGTCAATATTCTATATTTTTAAATGCCCCCAAATTTTGCATAAACTAGGGCCAAATATTCCCAAAAGCTTTCGAAAAACAATGAAATGCATTTTTGGAAGGGCGGTTGGGAAACACTGAGAGTAGCCATTACAGACTCTTCTTGTTGCCTGTAGCTGCTTTGCAAACGTTAAAGCCAGTACAAAAGGTAAGTAAAATTTCCGACTGATTTTAACAGTCATTATTATTCGTTCAAAATATTTGCCCGATTCTGATTGGCTAAAAGCACACGCATAATTCACCATAACCAGCTAGTGATGACCAAATTTGGAAGAATTTTGCGCTTAATCAGCCGATGACGTCAAAAATGCAGCTTTCTTGCAGGTTAATGCACCCTTACCCGAGGAGACCTGGGGACGAGGTTGAGTTATTTTAGTTGTGAAAACAAGAGTAATAACTAGGCTAAATTATTCCTAAAAACATGGCAAAAACAGCAAGAAGACAACTCGAAGGGCGACATCTGCTATTTGGAGAATATTTGCGGAGCTGAACAACCCTAAACGTGCACTATGAGTCTATCGAAGATGAACTTAACATCAATTGAGGTAAGCATGTTTTAGCTACGTTTTTAAACAAGGAATTATTTTGAATGAATAAGAAAACAATTATTGAATTCGGCTTTCGTATCATATGAAGAATCATGGAGATCTCGGAGGGTGTTATCCGCCTCGGCCTACGGGCTCGACGGATAACACCCTCCTCGATCTCTATAATTCTTCATAAGGTATTCAGCCTCATTCATTGGTTGATTAACGCGAGGTGCTACTGCGATTATAAGACAGATCAAAGTCTCTTCCAGTGACAACGCTCACGTTCAAGTACGGCATTCTTCCCACTGTAGCCTAGTGGTGATAGTGGTGGTGGTGTTTTATACAAAAATAACAGTTAATTAACAGTTACGATATATTACGCAAAGCGGCCATTGTGTCGAAGCTCTCACCACATAAATTTAAATAATCTTTTCCTAAGCTTTTTGTAGATTATCTTAACAGCGTCAGTCAAAGCCTTATGAAGAGCTTTGCGAAGGTTTTCTTTGGGCACCCGAATCCGAGCTGATAATATTCGAGCAAAATGTGTTTACCTCACATTTATTAAAATTACATGACATTGATTGTACAATGTACGAAATAAAACGTCACTTACGCCCCGAGGGAGATGGTGATGCTGTTGTTGTGGCTTTTTCTACAAGTAAACAGTTGAAAGCTAGTTACTCTCGTCGATGGTCGACACAACAGTCGTACGGAAAGGGGCCTGGGTTATATCACACGGAGGTACGCAGTGCGGAGAGTACGGACCTGCTCAGTACCACCTACAGCTGTTCTCCTCGTCCAACAAAGAGGTATTTATACACCTACCTCAATTAAGGTTGCTCCCGTGAGGATCATTATGGATGATCCATATTTAAAAGCCTACTGTGCAATATGGTAGTCCCTTTTGTAGCGGAAAGTTCAGTCCTGTTCACGTTGATTGGAATAATGAAGACCATTTAAAACATTTGTTTCAAAGTGTTAAAGGGACTGGTTCACGATAATGCGCATGCGCACCGTTTGTCTCTTCAGAATAAATTTGTCGGGTCAACACTACATTGGAAATCGCCATTACCGGTACAATCATTGAAAATCCTTCGTTTTATTCCGACATCCGTCGCTTTGGCTGTCCTAGTTATACTTCGGTAGTGGTGATTAACGTGTGGTTGTGTTGTTTGACTGGTTACGTTTTAAGAAGACGCAAAAAATAATGTTTTGATCATGGAGGTTCAGAAGAGCATCGTGGCCGTCCGGCAACAGGACGTTCTCAAGAGTCTTTGGAGATAGAGAAGCTTAGCCGATCGATCTGGTATGGTTCTAGGAGTAGTGTGTGGCTTACAAAAAGAATACACGACACTTGGAAAGTGGTTAAAGGCGTGAGTTCGTTCAACTTTGATTTGATTTTTGACTCCGACCTGTAGTTATACCGCAACAGGCCCCGCGATCTTCACCGATCTGGTAGACTTGAAATGTTCCTTGTATCTTTGCTTTACGATCGTATATGTTTAAGAATTGATGTTTTTAAAATAAATTATTGCCTGAATATTCTGTTTATAATCTAGTTTCTTTATGTGTTCTACTCGATAACATTTGTTTTGCGGAACAGTACTGGCCCGATCCAACGCGAATGAATTTGTTCATTTGCTGATAAGCGATTGAAATTTATGCTCAATTAAGGATAATCTTTATACTCATACGTTGTGTGTTTTTGTCAACAGTAAGGCGCTATTTGTAGGTATTTCTAGGTTTATATAAGGTGAACTGAGAGAACAGCAAGAATATGTTTGTTTACAAATTTTGTTTGCCGATCGGTGACTGCTTTGTTAGCGTGGGTACGACCTCGTAAAAATACACGTTGGTAAATGTTTGTTTCAAAGCAGGACAGGGCTGTAAATCTTATTCTTATCGGCTGCAACATATATCTGAGGAGTAGCAAAGAATAAACTTGAATTATGCGGATAAATAAAATCAAACCAAATGCACGAAAATACTCTCGCGTCGCGGACAATTAATTTGAATTTTTTAAATTTACTTGCGTGCATCTAACTCGCTTCCGATTGGTTTAAAAACAATCAGCTACTGTCAGAAGTCACACATGCGCATTATCGTGAACCAGTCCCTTTAATAAAAAGTAAAGAAGGCGTTTAAGAGAGCTTTCAACTCAAACGGTTACATAAATTCTTAATCGTGAACGGCGAGCTGGAGAATTTCATCATATCTCACAGTAAGAAAAAATAAACTGCATTCTTTAACAGCATTAATTGAACAGGGTTTTACGGTTTCTTTAAACTGCGTGTCTGGTCCAGAATTCATTACTCTTTTTATCTTCTGCTTAAAAAAAATTGCCCGACACACACTTCTACCTATAAACTTCCCTTTGAGTGTCCCCACCACTCTACCCGAGTGCTTGACTCACCAACTTCGAGTATCACAGTGGCTGTAGCGGTCCCGAGAGAATTACTCGCAGAACAGGTATACAACCCACTATCACTTGACTTGGTCTGACAAAATTTCCACGTTTTTCCTGTATGCAACGGTTGTCCACTGCTGTCATTTCCTTTGTACCATGTAACTGAAGGTGAAGGGTTTCCATCAACAGGGCAGGTGAGAATGGTAGGGTCTCCTGGTAAAGCTAGATGTGTTTTATTCCTCTCGATAACTTGTGGAGAGACTAAACGGAAGGAAAAGCAATTAGGTATTTTTTCAGAAAACTATAAATATCTGTACGTTTAAGTGGCAATGCACTCTTTAGCATATTTAGTTGCTAGGATCAGCGTATGACCGAAGAGAATCAGGTCATCACATGCCATGTCACGACGGCCATACTGGTGTTTGAAAACAATGCAAACCGGAAAAATCCTGTTAATAGCAGTTAAACTCTTCAGTTCCAATAAATTTGCTTCGTTGCTGGTCTTTTTAGTGAAATTGCTGTAGTTCACAGCAACCAAGCTAAATACTTACGGTATACTTCTACAACAATCACCACCGTCTGCCCATCACCAAAATAATTTAAAGGAGTACAAGCATAGTTTACTTGGATTGTTCTTTGAACTACCGATTTGACCTCTGCATAATCGATAGTTAGCAGGAGGTGGGCTTGCGCACTGCAGCTGAGGTTTAATGGTGTGTTCAAATCAACAATGTTTGCGCTTTTTGTCATTGTTGTGTTAAAAAGAGTAAAGTCTAAGGGGAGAAAAGATGTGTACATCCACTCGTTATTGTAAATAATCATTAATCGATTGCATTATTCGAATTATAGTTTGTACGTGTCTATTAATTCTCTCAACACAAAATTAAGGACAAATATGTAAGAGTTGTGAAAACAATAGAAAAGTGCAAGCCCACTTTACACAGACGAAGGAAATTAAACAAAATTGAACAAGTCATTTTTTGTTTTCTTTGAGGCCCTGAATCCAGCAGTACAGATGTTTTTGGGAATTTTTGGTTATTAGGCCATTTCCAAGTTGCCCCAGGCGTCTGTTTAAAAGCGAGGCTAAGTTCGAAGCCTTTATTATGAAAATTATTTTGTTATTCTAATGCCAATCAGACTTATTTTTAAAAGAAATGTTTGCTATTAGTGTCGCTTTTGAACTCGGAAAATTGCAAATTGGAATAGCCCACGTGCGATATATTTAAGAAATGGTAAACGTGCAGCGTGCAACCATGGAGTTATGGATGCACGCGGGAGGTTGCTAAGCACGAAAGAAGCGTAAGAGTCGCACGAGGCGATAGCCGAGTGCGACTCTAGCTTCTTGAGTGCTTAGCAAACCTCCCAAGTGCATCCATAACTCCATGGTTGCACAGCTGCAACGTTTACCATTTCTTTTATAACATAATCAAAAGAGAAAAACATTGTTTTCCATTTGCCTTCAGTTGAGTCATCGGTCGGAGTTCATGTATGCTGCCAACTGCCCGCGCGTAAACAAATTATGTTCTATGTTTTTCAAAAACTTGCCTTTGAGTTTTTCTTTCGCTGAATCAGCCGTTCTCCGTCTTCAGGTAAATTGCAAAACGTTTTTTGTTGTTATTGTGAATGGCATCTGTCTACTTGCTCTTAATATTAGGGTAAAAACTTTGAGGGAAAACTATATCTGCAACTATAAACACCAACTAAAAAGACTCTAAAAAATAAGCTAAAACTAAATAAATGAAATAATTATCAAGCTTATTTATGTGACAATTTTTGAAATAAACGTAAAGTAGGAATGAGAAAATTTGACAGTAATTCCTTTAGAATAACAGGTAACACTATTTTTAAAAAGAAATTAACTAGCTTTGTATCGAAATCTGTCTGGGGAAATCCAGCTATGAAAGTCAACTGAAATTCGCCGACACACAGCCGGCGCTGAAGCTGTTGTTTTTCGACTGTTCCCTGAACGACTGTTATGAATGAACACTGAGGAACAAAATAATACACACAGAAGTTATTTTTTGAAAAATTTATTTGAAAACCCAAATGTTTCTGTACTCAAATGAAATTCGCTTATTCCAGCGTTATGTGCCCGTTTAAACTCAACTAAAATTGTTAATCGATGCGATGAAAACTTCACAACAAAGCTGTCTCGAATTTTAACGTGTTTCCTAAAATATTTGCTTGAATTTAGCATCAGCTTGACCAAAAAGTCAATAACACAATGGTAATTGATAAATTTACATTTCAAACAGACTTTCTTCTCGATAAAAAAAACACACAAAATGTACCTCAAATCTTCGCTCCCTCGATTTTCCTCCTGCCGATTCTAGCCGCGAGGAAAACAGTGATTAATTCATCCAGGGCAAATTTGTCGCTTGATCTTTTGTCTTTTTTCCTTCAAAACCACAGCTTAGTATTTTCTTCACCTTCCACTTTTCATCTGTGCATTTCATCGGTGTATTTTACCGTCGGGAGAGGAGATTTGTTGAATTTGCCTAAATTTTACCGCGCTAGCTCAGTTTCTTAGCGTGCACCCACGGGCAAATGGTAGTGGCTAACTGACCAATCAGAGCGCGCGATTTACTTTTGTTATGTTATAAAAAAAATTCTAACATGACTCAAAATTGCAATTTTTTCACAACTCCATTGTCTTGCAATTACCGGCATAAGAGACTTAAGCACAAAGAAAACAAAACGAAATATAGTAAAAGGACCAGAAGCCTCGGAGCCATGTTAGAATTTTACTATATCGAACGTGGGCTATTCCAATCTAGTTCCGATTTGTTGTATAAGCACAGGCGGCCCAAACTCACGTTGCGAGAAAATGTTGTAATGTAATTTACATAACATAGGTGACGTGCCGGTGTCGCGTTACAGGCGACCGTTGAAAATATAAGAGGCTTTGTATGAGAAATATATTACTGAGATCTGCGAACGCTAAATAACGCTAAACCTTACTTTTTCTTAAATGAAATGAATAAAAAATTCTTACCTACAATCTATTCCACTGCGTTTTGGTGTCTGTTCGTCGTTTGACTGTTTTTTTGGCTTTATTGCGTAACCGCTGGTTACTCCTTTCGTTCTATGCCTGTAACGCGACACCGGTGTGTCACCTATGTTATGTAAATTACATTACAACCTTTTCTCGCAACGTGAGTTTGGGCCGCCTGTGGTATTTATACCACAAAAGCTATTGACGCTTTACATTTGGACTTACACTCAACAGTTATGAAGACCGGCTTGCTGGACGCCTTTCCAATGCCATTGTCAGCGGTGCAAATGTACAGTCCTTCAGCACTTTTCCCACGGACGATAAAAGACTTGCTCATAACTTTGCTATTTTTCATCCAGGTAATGGTTGGTTTAGGATTACCATCAGCTCTACAAGTGAGATTCACTGGATCACTCTCATTCACTGTCATGTTTTCAGAGATGTGAGTGATGTTTGGTGGATCTAAATCAAAGCCGAAAAACAGAAACGAAAACGTCATGTCACAAAGTAGAATTATGCTAATAAGCGACCCAACTGAAAATTGTAGTAAAGAGGTTGCAATGAGATATAAATTTTAGATTTAAAATTCGCTTAGCTATACGTTTTCAACTGAGAAACAACTAAATGCTTTAATTCTTGTTAAGTCAGACGAAGTTCCGGTTCAAAAACAATCAGGTTCAAAACAATTCAGTATAAACTTTTTTATCTTTGGTACACTAGGCAAAAATTAAACGGTGTAAATAATTTTTTTGCTTATTGCTTATTTCACTGCCCAGTCAATTGTTGGCCTCGCGTCTGTACATAACATGCCCAAACTTGTTTTGTGGCCTTATCCATACTCCTGAAACGTCCGTATCGACAATGGTTTCATCCTCAGACAGAGAATTGGTGTCGACTGCTGGTTTAGCATCAGCTGTACATATGAACTTTACAATCCAACCCAGACATATTTTGTTGGTTGTGTCATTTGCAATAAAATTGATATTGTCAGGTTTAACTGCAGAAAGACAAAAGGGAAAATTAAAAGAAGATCTGCAAAGAATAAAAATTTACGTTAAATTTATACTCAGATTTGTCTTTACTACGCTTCATTCCAACTTTCTCAGGATGGTGTTCCTTTACATCGCCGGCATTCAAGACAAAAAATATTTATAGATTTTTCCCATGAAGTCTTATGGCCCTTCTTATTTGGCAATCATTTTTTTATTTATCATTGAGCTACCAAAAACTTGGATGACACTGTCCTTAAAATACTTGAAAGAGCGTCCGTTTCATTTTGTTTTCTATTATTCATTTAAAACAAAGAACATAATTTTTAGACTTTAGCTACTTTGACGCAAGAAACAGGCACTTTGATTACAGCCGTCAGTAAACTAAAGTTGATTACGGAACTCTCAACCTAACCGAGAAAAATCCATTTTAACTTCTTACATTGCACGTTAATGCTTGTAACTTTGACATCACTTCCACAAGTGTTGTTTGCAAAGCACTGGTACTGTCCGCTATCCGCTTTAGTGATACTAGTGATGTTTAGCCACCTATCCTGACTGATTACTCCACCGCCAATCTTTGACCATGCAACAAATGGAGCAGGAAATCCCATCACGATGCAGTTCAAAGACACACCGTCACCTTCCTTGACAGTCCTGTTATCTACTTGATTTACAGACGCTGGAACTAACAAAATAATGTACAACATTTTCTTTACTGTGCGACTACTATTACAGAGGCCACCTATAAAGTGGACCAATCGGATTGCAGGAAATATGAATTTATTCCGAGAAAGTTGGGTGTCAATCATAATCGAAATAAACAACATGGATCGAAATCAACCAGTGACAACCTACAGACGTGACCTTTTGAACCCGCGGAGGAAAGCCCGTGTTTCCTGAGAGGTCGGTTAGAGTGAGTGACGGAGGCGAAAAGCGTAAACATTGGTTATAATTTTGACCTGAGATCGCATATCATTTCAAAGCGCGGCAATGGAAAATGCTGATGGATGACAAAATACCAGCTTGTGTCAAACGTATAATGTTTTCTGGGTGTTATACGTACAGTTTCGAAGAGAAAAACATTGTCTTTGACACATTTTGCTTCCTTGAAAAACGACGTTTGCTATCAATATTTAAATTTTGTGCTTCGTGTAACCTTTTTTTTTTACGATCTGTTGATTGGCCCACAACCAACTTTCTTAGAATGTATTGTTATTTTCCTCTTTTGCGATTGGTCAACTTTGTCTAAGTCGCCCCGGTTATAGTAGTCTAGGTAGCAGGCGCCGATTTGTTTTTTAGGGCGAAGGAAGAAATCTCGAGGACGCGCAAGGGAAGAAAAGGAGAGGAGGCCCCTGCAGCAGAGACCCTGGTCTTCCTTACTCCCCCAATTTAATAACGTGACAGCGCTGCATCAACTGACAAAAAATTGATTGAAAGTAGATCGTCTAACGATATGAAACCCACATCAGACCCAGACGGAAAAATAATCTTGTGTATTTTTCTTATATCTGCATAAAGGAAATGATGCAATTTTAAATTCGGATCAAACACGACAAACAGGCTTACCCTATACCCAAGTCCCTTCCAGGCTTTTGTCAACCAAAGACGCTGCTATATTCGAGCTGATAAATGATAGGGACGTTAATAATGAATTCATAAATCTTTTGTCTATAGCCACTTCAGCTGACGCGTACGATGTTATACTTTCCTTAATGTAGTTCCTTTAAACAGTCCAGTTTTTCTTTCAAGTCACCGGCTGACATTCCTGTAGAATGTACCCCGGCCGCTTGATCCTGAATTATGCTTTGAACGAAAATGAAAACCGAAATTGAAAAGCTCTTGCGAGCACGATTCATACAGTTCTTCAGCCGTTTGTCATTTCGCACGTGTATTATACAAGAAGGCTCGGATTTCCATTGACTGACAAATAACGTTTTGAGGTGACAGACTAACTCCCAAGAGGCTGTCTTGGCCAATGGCATTCTACGCAGGGCCTTCGATGCAGGCGCCTCCTCTCCCATTTGCGTGTTCCCCTCGCGTGGTCTTTAAAAAAACTAACCGGCGCCTGCTACGCAGGCTATGGTTACAGCAGTCACACTGTATCATTATCATGACAATTAGAAACAAAACTGTACTTAAGACAGATTACGCAATCGTCATATTCACTGAATTGCCAAATAACTACCAAAAAAGAAGCTGTTAAAAAGTGATTAGAGCATAAAAGGCTAAAATATATTGACTAAAACTTAATGCTATATACATAAGCCAAAGGTTATAACAATGCTATTGTTTTTGCACGTTCATCCATATACATTGTAGAAGACCGGTTCCCGTGATAAAAACCAAAACCATACGGACCCACACGGCAAGCAAAAACGTTCCCATACAAATGTAAACATGACACATTAATGACAATGCTGAAATTTATTTATAGCTAGAGTGGTTTCGAACAACAACAATGATTTTTTAACGAGATCATTGGTGACCATCCAAAGGTGTGGACACTTGCAAACGGGAAATTCAAAATACGGACGTAGTCACTTTTGTCTTCCAAGACGTTTTAAAAGCTTTTAAGTTGTTTAATAGCTTTTTAAATTGAAGCACAATAATCAATGCCCCACGGGTTTCTCTCGTCCTGAATAAATTCCACAGGATCTTTGAGGATTCAGACAAACAGGTTACTTATGAAAGGAAAGAAATTTAGGTAAAACTCTCGTTATAAAAAATTTTCAAAATTTTTTTGCAAAGAAAATACTTTCCAATGTCAATGTTAGTACGAGTTACATAGCAAGAGAGGGCTTGCTAGTTCCATCATAATTATGTATTTGCTTTAAATATATACCATATATTGTACATATGCCCTTTGGGTGATGTTATCCAAGGGGTTGTCGTACCCGACACTCTTTTCAATGCCGAAACAAGTAGACCATGACAGTTGATTTTGGTGCCAGACGTTAACGACGTTAACAAATTAGATCACTAGGCTTTGTTTGTTAAACCAAAAAGGTGAACTCACGTGGTCACATTCTTTCCCCTTTGCTGGCTTCCTTGCTCGCGCATCAGAGTGGTCAGAGTTAACCTAAAGGACGTTCATCGATTGACTTTCTGCGAAAGGAAATGTGTCCTTTTTGGTTGACAGAGAACAGCATTATTCGACTTGGGCAATCTTTTTTATTTGTTTGCCTGTCAGGAACAAAGCCACGTAACCAAAGTCGTTAACGTTTGGCGCCAAAATCAACTGCCACGCATATATCTGAATTCTCGGTCTACCTGTTTTGGTATAATCTATTCTTCCAGCTTTGGACTTTTAGTGGTTTCTTTCTAGAGCTGACGGTTATATCGTACACTTAACTTGTCATCTTAAAATATTAACAGGGTCAAGTACACATGAAAGTTTGAAACTGGTTAAAGCTATTTTTGCATTGACAAAACTCACCATTTACAGTCAGGGTCACATTGTTTGAACTGGTTACGTTTTCTACAGCATGTAGTGCAACGCAGCTGTAAAGTTTAATATGTCTTCCTCCTCTTGATATCTTTGTAATCCACGTTCCACTTTTGCTATGAGTTATGTTCCCATCTTTCTCGTAAAGAAGAAAGTTGTAAACTGGTGGATTTGATTCAGAAGTCACACAAGTGAAATTTACCCACAAATAAGAGCAATCCATGTTCTCAGTTGTGTTAACTGCCAATTCAACAGTATCTGGTTTATCTGAAGAAAATGGTGTATTTCCATTTACAAATAATAAAATGAGCTACTTGCTTCACGACTACAGATTAATGAAATATCCACCCAGTGCGTTATAGAGAAGTCACACAAATACCTCTCACTGAAATGAGTAGATGGACTTAAAGAGTAAAGTTAAAAAGGACTGAAGCGTTAATTCATTAGCAGCATGACAATCATCAGTTCGCGCCGGTTTAAAACTAAGACTCGAACACAGATTAAAAGCATATTCTGCAATGCTGTTGAGTAAATGTGGTTTAACCAGCTCATGAGAAATGTCCAACATTCAAAATGAATGTAAGAAGACAAAAAATATACTTGGTATAACAATGCTAATACAAGTAGGTTACTGGTGTCAAAGAAACTTAAAAGAAAAGAAATAGACAAATGAACAAAAATCCGTACCGGTGTGTTAAAAGAAACCAGAAGTAAAGAAAACATCATACCTTTAAGGAGTGAAATCGATAACCTCAAAATGAAGGTACAATCAAGAAACCGTTTCCACATTGAGGAAGTTAAGAACGATTCACTGCATAATATATATATATATATATATATTGGGACAGTGTATCAAATGCAATGAGCCTAAATGTACGGGATACACAGAAAAAGGAGTAAAATGTGATTTTCTACTTACACTGGACAAAGACGTTGATAACACTTGCTGCAAGACCCAAGACATAATTCCACATCCGGTGCACATAATCTCCATCGTCTGATCTGTTCACATGAAGAAGTGTCAAAGTTGCTTCACTTTCTGATATAAACACTTGAACACGGTCTGAGAATGCAGCATTTACAGCCAAGCCGTTGCTATCTTTCGCTGCTATTGTTTGGCGTTTACGTAGAAATATAAATTCTGAACCTCGAAAGGTGCCGTCAATGTCGTAGGTCCAACGAAGAGTTATGTTGCCCCCTTCATTGACTGGTGAAGGATTTAATGGTTCCTCGGTGAAAGAAGGTACTGCTTCTGCAACAGTTATTACATAAATATCTTATTGGACGGATAAGTGTGTAGCATCGAGGGACCTTTTTACGAGACCAGTAAAAATATCCCACGATACTACACACTAAACCGTCCAATAAGACATTTATTATTTTTCTCGAGAGGTTTATAGCGAAGCCTCCGAGCGCTCGCGCTTAGCGCGCGAGAGCGGAGACCATATCGATGCGAAAAAATTGATCATGTCGTCACCGTACGTCCGTATGTTCTTTCCGGGTGAGGGTAAGTAGAAATGAATTCCTCCCTCCCCCTCGGGTTTTGTCCCCTATTGTTTCAAAAGGCTTTAGAAATGATTGACATCAGAATTTGTCTACTGAGCAAATGGTTGTTGGATTTTTTGACTTTTGAGAGAGTTAAGGGTGATTTCAGAAAAAAAAGAATCCTTCATACTGATTTCGAGGGGAGAAAAAGCTGGCGAGGAAATAACTGGGGAATATAATATCATACGCTGAATAAATATCGATCATGGCGTATAATGCTGAAAAAAAAATCTTACACCGTTATTTGTCGGGGAAAATATTCGTAACTCCAGAGGTATGGGAAAAAGTTCTTACACAAACTATAAAATCACCCATACCCCGAACAAAAGTCAAATGGTCAACCCCTTAGAATTGAAAAAAAGCTGATAAAAGCCACAAATGGAAAGAGGGAGTTCAAAAGAATGTTCAGTTTTCCTTTTGTAGACAAACGAAAGTTTTTCGTTATGAAATGTCTTTCGAGGAATTCAACGTTGTTTCTGTCACGGCGGAGCCCTTGGCTTGTTTTGAACCAGGGCGTTGAAACGCTCATACACGCTCTCTGGTTTAGCTGTGTTGCGGACTAGGGCTGGAACTAGTTCGCTTTCCTCTCAGGGCAAGAAAAATGGCGCCGTCTAGCTGGAGGTAGGTTCGGATTTTTTGCTTTATATCTTAAGATCGCTGCAGTCTATAATTAGATTTGATATTTGGCCTATTTCTATGTGATGTACAGAAAACATTTAGGTGATATTTTACAGTTAGTCTTATAAGTTAAGGTGTTTTTTTGCCTCTTATGTTTATTTAGTGTCAAAACGGCCTGTCGTGTATTACAGGTTGACGGTCGCGTTTTATCTTGCCAGTCAAAACCAAATGACAATAAACGGCCACAAAAAAAATATGTAATGGTTTTATAAATTTTGTTTGTGTATGCAAATTTTTAGAGTGAACTTTCATGAACCTTCAAGGTTTTTTCACTTCTGAAGTGACGACTTCATATAATTATATTTATGGCGATAGCAAGGGGTTTTTTTGTACGTTAGCGTTTAGCTTGTTAGTAAAATAAAACATTTCAGTCGCCCGATTTAGCGATTTTCCATTTTTCAGTATACACTATGATGGTAAATAATTTTAGTTAGTAACAGAACCGCGACCCAAGAAGGTTCTGACTATTTTTAACGTTCTTCTAGAAAATTGCATTCGAATTATCTCGTGTGACAGTCTTTACATAAACAACACAAACCACAGTCAGCTCTCAGATGGAAACTATTGGAACTGGCAAAAAATGTCTGTATTAATGGAGAGTATAGAGATTAAAAGAAAATGAATGAAGAATAGTAGACTAGAGACCAACTCGATTTCCTGGAGGTGCGTTATCTTTTGATTGTCCTAGCATTATATCCTCTTTTTCTCTCTCTCTCCCTCTCTCTCCCTCTCTCTCTCTCTCTCTCCCCCTCTCTCTCTCTCTCTTAATATTATATATTGTAGTTACAAGAAAACAGAAAAGTATTTTTGAGTCAAGTTTGATTAAGCCTGGCTGCAGTTAATAAATTTAACCAATAATGAAATTGAATCATACTGGACATGAAGTGCAAGTGTGCTAGGGTTGCTGGTCACACTAACAAGTTTGTTTTTCAATGGTTTAATAGGTGTTACAGGTCATTTCTACTTCATTTGTGCATAATTCTGTATAATTTTCTTGTTTGCATATTATATACTTTTGAATTTGTATGTTACATACATGGTTTATGTTGCATCTGTAAGATGTATCTCCTAGCAATGTTTGGTTTCAATGTAAGACTAGTGAATGCTTAGTTTCTTTTAAGTTTCTTAGTATGTCTTGCATGGGTAGTTTTCAGTGACCATTTCATTACAAAAAGCTGTTATTATCAAACAAAAATATTTGCTGGGCTAGTTACTTGTGTTCTTGCAACCTCTTTGTTGGGTTTTCAAGGGCAGTGAATTTTTTTTTCACATACTTATTCTTCATTGCACAGTAGTATTAGGGTGCAAGATAAAAAAACTAATGATGATATTATGATATTTTAAATTTACCAGGAATTTAGTTTTCTCAATCTGTCCAACTGCAATGCTCAATATTGGAGATAGCTCAATAAGTTGTTTAGAGAAGAATACTGATGTACACCAACAAATCCAAACTTTAATAGTGAAAACAGATCATCTAGCCTTGAAACTGGGCAGCATAAAATAAATGCCATATATATATATATATAGCAGATGGTGAATTACACAACTCGTTAATAAACTGAAGCAGAGAACCGATAATATTAGTCTAAAAATAATGTCAGAGCTATCATCTGAGTTGTGATGTCATTTTCTTACCAAGGCACGAAATTTACAGTTCACGGAGGTGAAACAATATGCAATACAGATATTTGTTCTTGAGGAAAAAAATTAAACAAAACAGAAAACGGAAGTGAGAAAACATAATTTGTTCCTTCGCTATTGCTTGCAGAAATGAATGCCACAGGATAATGGCTAACGTCCGCTGGATAATCTCTCTGACGGTCCAGTATAATGTCCGCCATATTGTTTAGTCTCTTCGGTAGTACCCAGACCCGTGCATCACAGCTAAGCTTCTTACGCCCTGTTTTAAACCAACCAAGGCAGCGAGATGTTTGAAGAAGCTTCAGGTATGTCATGTACTCTATGGTTAAGGAAAGTACGTTTTTAAAAGAGAATTTTTGTACCTATAAAGTTTTTATGGACGTTTTCTGCATTTTGACCACGACGTAAAAAAAAAAACAAAATGTGCCCCAATTTGAAATTGATTTTATGTTGATTTTCTTATGTCCTTAGCCAATTTAATTTGTGTGAACGGATCTCCGGATGATCCAGTTAGTGTTACGCTAATTGCTTTTAAGGATTAACTTATGGGTTGTTTCATAAAAATAAAATGGCCTTAAAGTATTTTTCTCTGCCATTCACACTGTTTGAACCTTGCGGAGCTGTGTTTGCAGCCCGCTGTTATATGCCTCAGAAATACTTTGCGATTCGCCAACGTACAGTAAACTGAAATTATCCCAAGTCGTTGTCATGCCTGGAAACCCAAAATACACGATAACGTACGTCATGCTGAATGGCGTCTTTTAGAGTTTGTTTATGGTTTGTTGCTAGGCAACTGCGGATACCAAACCAATAGAAAGAATTATTTATGACCAAAGTAAAATCACACTCTGCTTGCAATTCTAGCATGATCCACTCGCTGAGCGCTCGTCAAAATAGTAAACTCGCTTCGCTAGCCACCTAACGGCCGCTCGCTCCACTTCTCTTGGAGGAGTGTAGATTAAAGATCGTAAAGTGCACATTGAAGTTCGTAAGATCAATTTAAGTTTTTAAAATCAATTAAAGTTCGCGAAGGGCTCTATAGAAAATGGCTGACAACTTGAAATATTTATTTTTACAATCAACATAAAAATTTACCGAAACACAATTCTCTCAATCAGATTAAAGCCCTTCGAACCTTATACTACGATGGTGCACTTATTAGGACTCCACGGAAACAAAGAAAATGTGCGATAATAACCTAATAATTAATATAAAACAGCCATCATCGAAAATTGACAATTTGAAAGTTAAGGATAAAAATCTTCAGCAACCATCTTCATTATCAATTGCTATTAACAAGTACTTATGCAATATTTTAACTGAACTTGCATCTAAATTGCCTGAAGCGGATCGCCAGTTTTCAACCTATGTGAAAAGGAAAAATTCAACCTTTCGCTTCAGACAGTACATGTATCGACACCAGGAAATCATTCGGCTATGATAAGCTAGTCGACCGCTGACACATATCATAAATTTGTCACTTGAACATGGCATATTTCCAGATAATTTGCAAAGTGGCGAAGTTATACCTTTAAACAACGCTCTCGTTCCTCATGCAATAACTATCGCCCCAATCTGTAGTTTCAGCATTAAATAAAATTTTTGAGCGATCATGAATATCCTTCGGCTATGATAAGGTACACCTGTCATTATTATACTCTGCTGCAGTTGAGATATGTATTTCGACCGCTAGCACATTTTGAGAGGTGCAGTCTTTAGTTAATCTTTTTTGGTACCTTATCAATATGGCTTTAGATCTGGCATGACCACGGGTTGTCTGCCTGGTAGACCTTATAGTCGAGGAGCATAGGCCGGAAAAAATACAACATCGTATCACCCCCACCACACAAAAGGTTTGACAACAGATGCTGATAGCCAAATACCCACAGATCACTTATTCGACATTCGGATCTACAAATTGTGGGGTCACTGACTTGGTACGCTGCGATTTCTGAGGGGGGTGGGGGGTATTTTGAAGCATCAAATTTCATCATTTTCGTATAGGGTTAAAACTTTGAAAAATCATATCTTTTTACTTAACTGGGCAAATGGGTTAGTATTTGGCCGACGCGTGTTAATCCATAAGAGCTACAATCTCAGATGTATTTTTTGCTTTTTTGGCGTTGCCACGGTAACGGTTTATAAGGAAACTCTGTCCATGGGGTCTAACGTCAATAATGACGGATGTTTTGACTTCCGCGACAAATGTGACCCTCCACAGGATTTTAATGCTAAAGGTGAAAGCACGCGCACGACCCGCTTTCACTTTAAAACAAAAGAATTTATTTTAACACGCTTTAGCACCCTTGCAATCTTGCCTCATTAGCAATTTCTTTTGTTTCAAAGGACACGCTTGAGACAATTAAGCGTGAGCAAGTCGAACAAAAGAGCGTGTTAAAGTTTTCAAACAAAAGATCCGTGCGAAAAAGCACAACACGGTTCAGTGTGCGCAAAAGCACGCAAGGCCTGTTACTTATGAGCTAAATATATTTCCTCTACAAAAAGGAATCGTAAATGATTATGAACGGCACCCTTTTTTGGTAACTATCAAGAAAGAAAAAGTTCTACCTCAGCGACCGCAGCGATAGTATCTGATTGAAAAAACGTTGTCACTTGAAAAGTATAAGCAATGAACGGTGGGACCTACTGGATTTGGGTAGAACTTTATTAGCATTGCAAAATCAGAAACAGAAAAAGCGAAACCGGTATCTAAACAAAGTATGCAAATTTGTTCTTCTTGAAATATTTCATTGCGTATGCTTCAGTCTTATTGTCCAAATTCCGTAATCATCCTCTTTGTTGTGGTTGCCGTCTGTTTTTAATCAAACTTATGGCGCAAGATTGACGACAGAAATCGAATCTTTTCTTCATTAAGCTTTTTGAAACCAAAAGTTTCTGCCGTGTTGCCGTTGGCCAATTCTCTCTCTGAAAATAATACGTCTGATAATAAATATTCCGGTGGCATAACTATAATTTTCAGGCGACATAACTTCAGTGCCTCGCATGCGATAGCAGGCCTCTTTGCGATTCCGGTCAACAGTCGACAGCCGGAGGAATTGGTTTACACTGATCTCGCGTTAATACCACAGGGGCACCCAACGGCAATTTTCGGGAAAATATCTGTTCGGAAGACGATTTGAGATCTAGAATTTTCGGAGCATTTGTTGTAAAATTTCTTGCTTGCCTGCCTCTCCTAGGATTTTCGAACATCGACAAAATGGTATAATTACCCATTTTTAACGGATTTTGACCCTAAAAAAGGCCACCTAGAATTTTCGGGAGCCTTTTCCTGGCTAAAGTTTTCGAGAAGGTAAGTTTTTATCCCTATAATTTTCGGATCACTCGACTTTCAGCTAGGAGATCCGAACAGATGAAAAGTTTTTAGGGGATAAACATATCCCTATATCTACCGTTTGAATACTAAGCTACGTTCAACAATGCTATGTTTAGTGGTTTTGAACTATATCCTCGTTGGGTGCCCCTGATACCAGGCTAGACAACTGTTAAATTCCAAAACAGTCTCAACTGGTATATTTGATTCACTTCGACCAGTTATCAATGCTGATTAAATCCGCTGAAACCCAAGCCATTTTTATCATCTTAGCAGTTTTGAACAGTCACTTGCGTGCAAAAGCATTCTCGTGTCAGCCTCTTCATGATCGGATGATAAATGAAGCAAAGGAGTTTCTTGATTTTGAGTGACAGCGAACGTGTCATCGCTGTGAATGAAACACCCTGCCAACACCAATTTCTGGTCCCCTGCAAGCCTTGTCTTTGCCATCTCTTTCCACGTACTCCCAAGAAACGCCTTTAGGTTGGTCTTGTTCACAGTGTTGGAGATGAAGTTTTGCCACTTCTCGGGAACTGGAGTGGATGGGCCCGATATTCGCACCTCAAAGCTTGATGATGATCCCCTTCGAGCACGCTCTGCTTCCTTGATCGAGTCTTCCTTGTCATAGCGATCAAAAACTACATCCACACGATTACAGCCATTATTTCCGAGATGCGCGGTTATCAACTGGAAGTACTTGTTAGCAAGCTCTCCAAACGTGGCCGAGCCTGCGTTCTTCATCATTTGCACCACTGCCATGCCATCTATGACATACGCAGTTGACATTCTGTCATCTACTGGTAGTCTAGGTAGCGCTTGTACTTGTTCCTCGAGTATCCCCAAGAACACACTTTTAGTAGTTTTCCGTAACGATCCATCAGGATGAGCCAGTGCCCAAGGGACAGAGTCCAGCTAGTACTTTAACACTTCTCTCAAGTCGATATCCCTTGACTGTGAAGCTATCAAAAGCCGCCCAAACAAGTTAAGTTGTCCGCGTTTACTGTTACAAGCTTCTCATCCACGGACTTAACCTTTGCTTTCTTTGACAAACTTGCAAAGGTTTTTATGTTCATCTTTTCCATCGGTTCCCAAAACGCAACTTCATTGGTATTGATACGCATGCTCACAAATAACTCCATCCTCGCTGCTCCTAGACATTGGGCATCAACAAGTTGCTCTGATATCTCCTCTAGCATAACTACTCCCGTAGCAAGGTTCATTAGTGGAACGTCCTCTCTGTACGCATCTTCATCGAACGGATTAGACATCACTGTCTGCAGAGTGTGTATGACCTTCTTGATGTCATTTTCGTCTCTTTGAACTGTGACTTTTGATGATTCCTTGTGTGAACTTCTTGTAGATTCATCCAAATCTATCATCCTTTTGGTAGCAGTCGTGGTTGCTGTTCTCTCGTGTGCTGTCAAAAACCATTTTTGGAGAGCGCTTGGCCTTTGCGTAATACCGATTACGCCACCTTTAGTTTTACTGTCAAGGTTAATGCTCTGTTCGAGAGCTATGTCCGTCCAGACTTGGTTAAATGACTGTGACGTTGACCTGCTGAAAGTGTGGTTTCCTCTAAGGAACTCGTTGTAGACATCTAGAGCTTTTTCTTGCAGACTGCGCATATCCACAATATACACGGGTAGCCACCGGGATAAATTCAAGCCATCCATTGCAAAAAAATAAGGAATCATCTTTGTTGTAACCTTTAGATGTAGCTCCCAGTCACCCTCTCGTTCTTCTCGAATGAACTCTAGGAGAAGGAGAATCATCTCGATGTACTTGTCCCAAAACTTGAAAAGTTTCGATGACGTTTCTTGTTTAAACCGTGTCAATAAGTCCTCAACGCGAGTGGCGGTGTTACAAAGGAGCAAATAGGTCTCTTTCTTCTCCTCAGCTGTTGTTGCTGTTCTGTAGCGCTCTATGACAGAGTCAACAAGATTTAGAATCGGACCTCATTCCCTTTCGACTTCTCCACCTCCTCCTTTACTAACCCAGGAGCAAAATGCGTCTCATTTCAAACGCAGTAGTGCCTCCATAATCAATTTGCGTCCTCTAATTCCCCTGTTACACGATTTGTCCTGCAATAGTGTCATAGTAGAGCTCTATCCGTAGAGGCCAGACTCTATAAACACATCCTCTAAGCTACTCTCCTGGAACATCTTTCCGATCAAGGCCAAATAATTGAGGGCAATGTGAAATCCCCCTAAGCAAATCACCAGGTTTTGGAACTCTTCTAGATAACGCCAGTGGATTTCCTTTGCCTTGGAATAAATTGCCAGATCAAATGTGATTACTGCAGTGCTCTGCTGGAGATGTTTGGACATTTCTTGCACTGTTTTAAGTACCGTATAGATGGTACTGTACTCTGTTGGCGATCCAGCAATCATCGGGCAGTACCCAATGACGGTACGAGGGAACGTGATGGAAGACATTTCGACATTGAATGCGCTCCATTCGGAAACTGATTGCTCTCCATAGGTATCATCGGCCTTCAATACGTTTTTTCTATTGAGCCTGAGCAGAAACCATGCCAGTTCTCTTACAATCTAAGTTGTTGTGCAATCCTCTCTTAATTCAAAGCTCTCTTCTGCCCTTCCTACGAATGAGGTCAAGGCAGGACGCTTACCATGCACACTGCACTCGTGCATGAGTTGACCCTGAACTGACTGCTCTAAAGATCGTCTCCTAGAGGAGTGGTCGGCCTGGATCTTCGGTGGAAGTTGGGGTCCAAAGGGCTGACGCTGATACACTACTAGCGTTGTGGCGTGTGTGGTTTGTTTGCCATCTAGAGTTTCCTCATTGAAGTCATTATTGTCGGCAGCGAATTGGAAAAATGGGCCGGCGGTAATGTTTGATGGGATGACTACTCTAGTTTGTTGGCTCCGTGCCTCCATCTCTCTTGCCCACGCTGTGCTTACGATTTCGACATCATCATATGAAGAGCAGTGCCCAATTCTGTTTAACAAAGTAACGACTTCCTTAGACCCTGTTAAATGATGTACGGTGACTGCCAAACCTATGTGTTTCGATGTTTTCACCTGACTATTGGACGCGGCATGAATTATATCCTTACCTTGCATAACTACGCGTCTTCCTTTCTCAGCACTAAGAGTAGATCCATCCGACACGTTAGTAGCTTTTTTGTCTTGCCTAGAGATAACCTCTGAAAGAAAACTGTAAAGGCTTTCCGGTATTAGACACCTGCCCTTCTCTATGGACACATCGTATACACACAATGGCTTGATTGAAATACCATTGCACTGTTTGATGTCATTCTTTATTATCTGTGCTGCTTGGTACAAAATGGTAGCTTTATCCTGTTCCATTTCCTGTCTCATGTCCTCATCGACTTCAAAATTTTCACTGGAATGCTGAGAGACAGATGTTTTTGCTATGTCTGTAACTGAAAAATGACTGGAATAAATTAATTCGGGCTTCGAAGGGTCTTTCAGCTTCTCGATGACTATTTGGTCTAAGAAATGGCCGCTCATTCTTCTTTTGAGCTTTTCGCTGCGATAATTGCTGCAAGAAGTGCCTTTGACTTTCAATACCTGCTTATAGCGGTCTAGCAAATAGCTCATGTCATAAATCTTTCCTTCAGATAATCCAGGAGTAATTTCATCCACTAACATAGCAACCGCTGCGGAATATACACACTCCTCCTCCTCTTCATTGTCTTCCTTGTATCTGAGACATTTTGGGTTTGTCTTACTGACATATTTGCTTCGAAATTTTCCATGATACTTCGCTTCTTTCGCTATGAAATCAACGCCTTTGATATTTATAAGCAATCGCTGGTCATCACGAGCAATGGCAGCATCTACAATCGCTTGACAAGAATCAAAGCTGGCAACACTTATAAGCTCTTTTACGCCTTTGTACTTCTTTTTTTGGCAAAATATACATATTGGCCAGTCTACACTTTCATATGTGGACCTGGAAGTCCTTTCTACTTTTCCCTTCTTGGCTTCTTGTGCCTCATCTTCAGAATCCGCCATATCTAATATTTTAGAGGAGGAAAACTATCTATCACAATTTTACCGACAAAATGTTTTCAAGTGTTACTAAAGCAAGCACACCGGGGAATTCTCTATATATACAGTATATGTATATCTAAAAAGGGTAATTGCTTTACAATTTATAATTAAAGATTGGATTGGTTATAAAAACAAGGACTATTGTTTTCCATTTTCACAAAAAACTTACAGAGATTATAAAGAACAATTTTCTTTAGATCATGAGCTCATTAAAATAATCAACTAATCAACGATGAAAAATCTTTTAACCTACACCTAGCACCTCAACAATAAAAAATATTGTTTAACGCGATTAAAAGTAGCAAAATGGAAGCAAAAAAACAAATAATTCTTACCTTTTGAAGATTAAATCATTCCCGCAGTTAAAATGGCGGATGCTACTTGCAAAGCAATTTGGGATATGCATCAAAGGCATCATGGAAATGGAAAGGCGGAATGGATAAGAAATAAACTTAAGAGAATTTAAGGAAAAAATAACCCACATAAAAGTTGATTGTAAAAGCTTTAAGAGCAAAACTAAGCAACTAAAAATTAAGTATTTCAATAATTTTGTATTAAATTTTCAGTACAATACTCATGAAAGAAAGCAAACACCCTCTCAAGACACAGAGATAATAATAACGTCAAATATAACAATACCGTTTCAAAACATATGTATTTGTATCCAAGATCTTTACTAAAGATTGTGCAGTGATTAACATTTCTAGAAACACACTAAAAAAATACCTATAACGAGTAGTTTGTGTTGATACTGTATCACATTTTAGCCAAATGATTGTATCTTTAGGCATATGAGGAAAAAGTTTAGGGAGTCATTCAGCATTCCTCAAACCGGTAAAAAAAAATATATTTCATTTTTCTTATTCAACCCATATCTCTGTTCGATCTTCTTTAAAAGGGGCATTGCTTACAAAAAACGCATCTTAGCAACCTTTGCCATGGAAACAAGGATCATTTCGCGAAAATGTTCTAAAAGAGCTTATAAAGGTTCATGACTTTCCATAGTTTCATCTTTGAACAACGTTTAATCTTTAAGACATGATTTTTCAAAGGTTTTAATTGGTACCAATAGGAAAATAGGGTTTAGAGACAATTATGACAACTATCTTGATTCGTTACAAGACAATGGAATGGTTTGATTTGCAAATTTGTAAAAAATCTTATACAAACGGTTCTCGAGAATTAGTAAATATCAATTGGAAGCACATTCTAAGTACATCGGCAATGTATATTTGTTGCGGAAGTCAAAACATCCGTTATTATTGACGTTAGACCCCATGCACAGAGTTTCCTTATAAACCGTTACTATGGTAACGCCAAAAAAGCACAAAATACACCTGAGATCGTAGCTCTTATCAATAAATTTGTAGGCTCAAAGAAAGATTTTGGGTCCGAAAATCAGACCCAAAAAAACTATCCATCGTCGTCCACAAGCCAGAAATAATAGACTGAAAGAAAACTTTGGAGTCCGAAATCGGACTAAAAAAATATTCATCCATATCGTCGTCCACAACCCAGAAATGGTAGACTGAAAGAAAAATTTGGGGTCCGAAAATCAGACTCAAAAAATATCCATCGTCGTCCACGACCCATAAATGGTGGACTGAAAGAAAAATGTGGGGTCCGAAAATCGGACTCAAAAATAAAGATAACAGCGCTTAATTTCCTGGCTGTTAGTCGCAATTTACTTAACACCAAATAATATTTCTGCTTATTACGAAGCCTTCTTTATTTCTACTTATCACGAAAATTTGTTTTGTTGAGAAGGACGACCAACACGCTTCTATCAACGGAATAAAAAAGGGTTCCGCGTTTTATAACGCTTTTGTATGGTATTCTTTGAGTGTTGTGCAGGGTTCCGACGGTTTCGTACCTGTTTTCTTTGTATAAGATGACATTTAAACGCAGTCCGCCGAAAAATTGTTCTTTTAGATGTCAAAAAAACTGTACCTTCCGCTAGAAATTTAATGAAATAGTCTAGTTTTCAACTGTGTGTTCCTTAGTTACTGTAAGAAACCCTTGATCTCCAGTATTCTGTCGGAAATTTTGCTGTCTAACAGGCTTATTTGCCCTTTTTTAGCGGAATTTGCTTAATTGGAAAAGGACGATTTAGTTTGGAACGCCTTATTAACCGTAATGGTTCTTGATCACAGTAGATTAGGCCTGGAAAACAAATTTGTGGAAAACAAAATCAAGCCTACTACTATCCGGACTTTGACGAGACGAGCGCAACTAGTTTAC